ACTTCTAAAGACTGGGTCAGAACTCCGGGGTATTGCCCTGCTTTCCATGGGGTTCTCACTCACACTCGGCACATCCACAACGGGTGTCCTCATGGGTGCCAGATGTCTCAGATCCATCAGCACCTAATGCCACAGCCCACTGGCTATTGTGGTGGCAGAAAACAAAGAGAAGTGGTCACCTGTGTGAGCCCGTATGATGTCTCGCTGACTTCATACGAACCAAATAAGATCAATTTGGGGCAAGGCATCCACACCTGAGGATGGGAGGGTGATCCGGGCGGATCTAAACAGACTCATGAAATGGGCAGATGGGAACCTGATGGTGTTCAACACCGAGGGATGCAGGGTTCTCCACCTTGGGGGGAAGGACCTGCACCATGCTTATAGGCTTGGTAGTGCTACGCTGGTTAGCACTACAGGTGAAGGGGACTTGGGGCATCGTGGTTGACCACAAGATGAACACGAGCCTTCAGTGTGATGCTGCGGCTAGTAAAGTGAGCAAAACACTGGCTTGCATCCACAGATGCTTCTCAAGCAGATCCCGGGATGTCATTCTCCCACTGTACTCGGCCTTGGTGGGGCTGCAGCTGGAGTGCTGCGTCCAGTTTTGGGCTCTGCGGTTTGAGGGGATGTGGAGGGGCTTGAGGGGGAGCAGGGGAGGGCCGTGCACATGATCAGAGGTCAGGAAAACAGACCTTATGATGAGGGGCTGAGGGCAATGGGGCTATTCAGCCTGGAAAAGCGCAGGCTCAGGGGTGGTCTGGTGGCCGCCTGTGAGTTTATTGGGGGTGCTCATCAGGATCTGGGGGAATGTCTGTTCGCTGGAGCCCCCCAAGAGATGACAAGATCGAATGGTCACAAACTCCACTGTAACTGATTTGGGCTGGACACGGGAAAGAACTTCTTCACTGTACAAGCCCCCAAGGTTTGGAACAGACTACCACCGGAGGCGGTTCAAGCACCCACTTTGAACACCTTCAAGACACATTTGGATGCTTATCTTGCTGGGATCCTATGATCCCTGCTGACTTCCTGCCCCTGGGGCAAGGGGCTGGACTCAATGATCCTCTGGGGTCTGTTCCTGCCCAAATGTCTATGAAATCTATGAAATTCAGAGCAAGTGGTGGTGTTCTGGCTTTTGCTCCCACCGGGAGTGGCTCAGAGCTACTCCGTGGTCTGGACCCAGCCTTGAGCATCAGGATTTGGCCTGTGCTGCCTCCCCGTGGCCTAGCTCAGCCCTGTGCTGCTCTGCCTGCACAGCCCAGCCCTGCGCTCCCCCAATGGGCCCTGCCTGTGCAATCCAGTGCATGCTTTGCGGCCCACAGGGCTCCACAGGACACTTAACAGCAGGGGAACAGTGGTCGGCTGCCACCGCACCCCAGCTGCCAATGCTCTGCACCCCTGGACTGCGGATAACATGGCTGTGAAGGCCAGGCCTGGCCTGTGAGACTGAGCACCCTAGCTACAGGGTCATCAGACGTTCCAGTCGGCACTGACAACTGCCTCTACCTGCGCACCTCCTCTCAGTGGGGACGTGTTCACCTTGGGCTGATTGGGTGGTCGGATGTGTGAGGCAGCCTCAGGGTTTGGTAGGAGACTGGG